ATTGTCAGAAAAGTGACTGCAATGTGTCCTGAGAAAGTCCTTCCTGGGTGGATTATTTTGCTTCCCAATGTGTCAGATGCATGGGTGAGGAGAGTAGTCAGGGCGATGTCCCACTTTCACTGGGACTGTAGTATGTACTCTGAAAAGCAGCAGGTATGAGCCCCTCGACCCCTTTTACAACTCTGCAAATTTTGTGTGAGTTTTTATTCATTGCTACAGCAAACCCAGGGTCAGAAGTGTGTCTCAGCAAGGGTGGGTTACAGTTTTGCCAGCGTTAGCGTTGCTGTGGAGGTGGCAGCCCTTGCTGCAAGCTCATTTCTGCACACCTGGATTCTACCTTCCCGGGCAGGAAGGTCAGAGTTTACCTGCAGTTGCTGAGGCTTCATCACCTCTCTCAGTGATAAGCAATGTATACAACTTTTAGTGACATCCCCTGTGCCTTGAGGTGGCACAACAGTGAGAAAACAGCTACCCAGTAATATTGTGCAATTCTGCATTTTCTCCCAGTCCGGGAAATTACTTAAGAAATGGAGCTGGTTGGGCCAATGTGCTTATTGCTACTGTTTTTGGCGTGCAGCCACTGCCCAGATGCAGCGGGTCCCTGGGGGCTGCAGCAGCTCCCCCCTCGGCAGCGGCGCAGTCTCCCCGGCCCCGCGGCCCCAGCGCCAGATGGTCCCGAAGCACCAGAAGCGTTTCGTAACGGGATTCGGGGTGTCCCCGTAAGGCTGCACAGACACAGCTGGCAACTGCGCCAGGGGCTGGCCTTTGTCCCTTGTTCCCCCACTGCAGCACAGCGAGGCGTTTGTCCTTCTCAAGGCAGTTCTTCCCAAGATGCTGGTGCCCTCTGCAGCCATGCTGGGCTGGGGCTGTGGGGCTGCGGGGCCTCCCCCCGTCTCCCCCAGGTGTGTGGGAGCAGCAGCGGCGCAGGGCCGGTGGCAAGGACCGGTGCTCCCAACCAACAGGAACTGCAGACAATCGCAGGAAATGAAAAAATGTCATCCTGCTGGCAGACGGCCGTTTTCATGAGATGAACTTCACCCGCTGGTGCTGCGGGTGTCGGAGGCTGCCGCCTGCCAGGAGGCAAGTCGTGCAGCCACAGAGGGTTTCCACACACGTGTGTACAAACGGCTAGAGGGTGAGGGTGGATGCACTTCTTTCTTCCCCTTATATTCCATGTTTTCTCTACCACCGCCTGTGAATTCTGTAAAATACAGCCTAGAGATCCCCCTCTGTGCACAGGATAGATAAAGGACCTGCTTTCTTTAAACCTGCAGAAATCTAGAGCAACCCTCTTGCATATCTTAACCTCCGGAATAAGAGCAGCATAATTAAGCTGAGAGTCAGACTTCTGCTCACTGTCCTCTTGTGCCTTGTGTCCAAGTGCTGTTTCATGCACAAGGAATACTAATAGAATGGAAGTAAATGCAAGCTGCTGTCCCCACATCCAGTCCCTCTACTTACACAAGCCTCTTGCATCAACTGTGGACCTATTATTTATGAACTTAAATATTCTCTTCTTCATCATACCATGCATTTAATCATGTTTTTGCCCTAGGAGTCTCAGTCAGGGACTGCCTCCCTACTGTTTGAGTCACTAGGGAATATAATTAGGGACAGATCTAGGTAAGAAAATGGTTCTTGCATCAAAACGTTTACAATCTGTCTGTGTGTGTGTGTGTTTATAAAACAGCAGAGGTGTGTATACTTTTTTACATACATATATATAAAAACCTCAAGAGCAAGAGACTCTGGGGTGCTTAAGAAGATAGAGTAAATCAGCAATGGTCTTAACAGACTCACTGCATAAATCGTTGTCAAATCTGCTTTATTATCAGCACTGCTTGTGAGAGCCTACAGTTTCTCTTGTGGGCGTGATGAAATAAGATGCATTCCAGGTGATTTGGATCAGTCTGATGGGAATGGTACCTGCCTCTCCACCTACCGATAGCTGAAATGTGGAGGTAACTGTGAGGGGTGACCTCAAACCATCTCCACTAGACAGTAACAATCTCTGAGAGTTATTCACTCTCATGTCCTGATGAAATATTTTTTCAGGTGGCTGTTTCAGTGCTCTGGGTCTTAACACTGGAGTCCCGTGCTGTAACATATTCTCTGTTGGAGAAGTTTGGCTTCAGATCTTTCCCTTCTTTGTTTCCTGTTAATTTATTTTTTTAAAACACAGCTATTATAAAATCATTGCTAATGTTCTGCATAAGCAATATGCCACTTTCCTCAAAGGTACAGTTGCCAGTAGAAGTTGACTTTGATGTTCTTGGCACAGCTTTGCCATCAGCCCCTGATGTGTAGGTCTTAGCATCTCTGGTCAGGAAAGAGAGCTCCTGGCAGTGGCTGTTGCTTAAGCACAGGTGTTGTGCGAGCTCAGAGAAAGAGGATGTTGGACTCCTTGGGCCCAGCTCAGAGCTTTGAAGTCATTACAGGCTGGTGGGCAGCTGTAAGCTCGCTCACAACTCACGGGGTTCATCAGAAGCCCATTTCTAGCAGGCAGATGGATCATTCAGCAACCACAACAGACACTTGTCGTGCAGAGAGAGCCCCCAGTCACTTTTGGCATCCCTCCTTTCTTGGGGGGGTAAGGGATCTGTGGCACCCCATGGGATCCTGTGGTGTAACACCCTCTGTGTCTGTGGTGCAGAATCCTGATATAAAGATTCTTCCTGAAGTGATCTCTGAACACTTGCCTTGACTTTGTGCCTCTGCAGAGCCTCAGTCTGAGCAAAATGTTCCTACTTCTTCAGTCAGAAGCACGGAGACAATTAAAATAGCTCCTGCTGCTAGTGATGATTTCACAGGAGATAAAAATAAACAGGGAGAAACAACAAGACACAGGAAGGGTACTTTAAGATGACAAAGCGTCCTAACACAGAGACCTTAAAATCAGGGGTGTTTCTATGTGCACATTGAGGTAATTTAAGAAAGAAATTTCGCTCCCCATGGAAGTCACTGGTTCAGCATAACTCTGGATTTGGCCTTGTGTACACATTGAGAATTCCCTTACAATTTCTTTGAACACAGATAAGATCTAATCTTTTGCCACAACACCGAAAGTTGGCCACTGTGACCAGAAATACTGTTGAATCCAAACAGCAGTGAGGAAAGTAATGATGCCAGCTTTATAGGGTTGGATTTTCCTGTGTGCTCAGCTGACCTTTTGGCATCCAAGAAAAAGACATATTTTCTGTAGGGCTCAGCACCTGAAGCTACATCTGTACTCCTGAGCTCATGGCTAGGCAGGCACTGAGCTGTGACTGCTGGAATCCTGGGGGCACGTGGAGCACATCCTCTCAGCTGGACCAAGGTTGGTAGTCAATTAAAAGCAAAATAGCACTGTGGCAAGCATTGCTGGGAGGGGGAACCCAGCAGCCAGCAAGAAACCAGGTATTTTATTGCAAACTAAAACTTCAGGGCAGTTTTGCCATCTAAGAACACTGACCCTGCTTAGCCACGAGGAGATTTTGTGCCCTGTAATCCCACATTGTTCTGGATTACTCTTTTATTTAAAGAAACTGACCTCCAGCAGCCACACTAGATCTCCCTGGCCCAGCGAGTGAGTCCTGTGCATAAGAAACCAAAGTTCTAACTCAAAAAAATGGCGGTGACCAGTATTATGACTCAATTAAAAGTCCAAGGATAACAAGAGAGCATTATCTTAGATAGATCTTAACATTTTATTTATAGACTAAGTAGTTTAACAAGTCTCATTCATTCAGTTTCTCAATTAATAAATTAAGGGTTACCAAATAAGCAGCACATTTTCTAAGAAATAAGGCATTGTCAAAATTCTGGCTTCTCATTACTAGCAGCCAGCTCCATTTCTCTTATTTTTAAAGAAAGAATACACAGACCCATAATGCAAGTGTTAACCAAAGACACTGGAAACCTATGTTTACATCTCTGATGTGACAGAGAGTTCATGTCTGGTTTTGGGTAAATTCCCCAGCTTCTCTGTGTTTCAAATGTTCTCTGCCTCCCAAAAGTGTCATGATGTCAGAGTAGGTGATGCTTAGATGCCTTATTAATGAGGCCATGATAGTCATACCACATGCAGAAGTAAGCAAAAGGTAAGAATATCAAAAGCACAGTAGGTGCTCGGGCACCATTTGCCCTGACTTGCAGTGCATGTCATGCAAGTCACACAAGGTCCCCTCCCTCTGTAAATACCACTCTCATGCATTTTCCAAAACATTCTCCTGTGCTCTTGCTAATTTTAGCCTCTATACACCACTGAAAAGGTCTCTTTCGTACCCCCACAGGTATTTCATGTGCCTGTAAACTCAGGCAATGCTCACTTAACTATCTTCATTTTTATAACAGAATCAAGACCTAAAGACCCACTGTTAAACTTCCGGTTTAGGCTTCTTCCTAAAAATAGTCCTTGGCTTGCCTGTGGGCTAGAGACATGATTTCATACCTGCTATTCATGGAACTTCTTTCCTGACCATGAGCACTGCCTGGTTATAACCCCTCCTAAATGCACTTCCTTAAGGAGACTTCTGAAAGATAAATGATGGGTGTGATGTTGCAAGCCTGAGGTTGCTTTGTCAACAAGGAAGAGGCTCTTCGTCCCCATGTGTGAGTGTGATAGCCACTGAGCAAAACGTAGCATTATTAATACAGGTATTCCCAGAGACCCTGCATTTCTACCACCCCTATTTTACATTTGCTGCCTCACACTGCCAGTGTTTCCTTTCTTACCAGAGCTGTAATGCAGTAGCCCCATGTCTGTAAGTCTGGGAGATAGCTGTTCACATCCATGCTGCCGTGTTAGAAGAAAACACATTTGAAAATATGGTCCTTGTGATGAATGAGAATAATTCTTTCATTTTATGCTCTGGGAGCTATAAGGCTCCTGAAGTGCTTTGTACTAGCAGCAGAGATAGACTGCTTGAGCTGTATTGGAGGGCAGTACCTCTTAGGAGCACAAGGGCTGTGGAGATGCGATAGTTCTGAACAAGAAGAGGGTGCTCTGCTCTCTTTCTTGACCTTCTGCCATACCGTACTGTTGGGGGGGGGGGTTCTACCAAATCTTGATCAAATCTATGTTCGGCATAGACATTTCAGCATTAGATCAGGTCAGAATAGTGCCACAGTGACTGGTTTACTTCAGACAAGGTGTGAATGAAGTGACATTGCTGGTTAGTAAAAAAAAAAAAAATCCCTGTACTTTTTTTTTGATAGAAGCCAATATCCTTGCACCCTGTTACTGGCCAGATTGCCATTGCTCATCCCTGGAAAGTGTTTGATACCAAAATCTAAGTGATGGTATCATTTAAGAAGCAACAAAACCGTTATTCCCATAGCAGCTGTTGGAAAGTTACCTTGATGGTACAGAGGGATGGTGTCTGAATATGAGATATTGTCCTGACCTATAGACTTTGCCTTTGTTGTTTGAGTAACTCAGCCCCTCATACTCATCTGCCTGGTCTCATAATCTTATGGTTAGTGTTACAGTGTTTTCACTTGAAAGTCCCATTTCCTGGAGTCATGTTTTCATCTAAATCTCAGCTTTCACTTTAATAACAAAAAATAAGCAGAAAAAAGAATGAAAGAAGCTTGCAGGTGTGACTGCATTGGTCACAGAAGAAGGCAATAAATAACAGTTCTATATCATTTGTTTTAAAGATAGTTTCCTATCACTTTTCAGATATGAATGCATAGGAACTCATAGGTATTTGAATGCAGGTATTTAACAGGTCATATATAAGGTAATGGGACAGTATTAGCAACTGAAGCACCAAGATGTTAAGGCTACACAAAAAAGGAAGATGATTGCTGAGATGGAAGCAGAATCAAGTTACTTGCATCTTAAATCCAGCTTTCTCATAGCTGCTTTGCTGGAAAAGGAACTGATAACTTTATAGCAGTGAAAGACGTTATTTGCAAGATTCGGGTTGGGGACGGTGAGAAAAACAGAACATTAAGATGTTAAAGTTGCAACAAAGCCTCAGTTCTTTAACAAAATGTCATCTATGTGTGACAGAGGAACAAAGTCGTTAATGAAGCTGGAAGCCTATAAAGTGGTGACTTCATTGTGTTTGGGACAATTTCAGAAAGCAATTCCTCAATACTTGCTGGAAGAGCAGTTTTTCCACTCCTCCTTAGACGGGGAGCCAGAATGGTCTTTCCCAGAAGTGATGAAAATGAGCAGCTTTAGCTGGAACTCTCTTGACACTTTCCAGCAAAAGGACTCTTCCAATACAGCCCCATCAAACAAAAGCATGATTGTTCACAGGCCCATAAAAATACTGCTTGCAGATGTCAAGTGAGCAACTTTAAAAGAAGAAACCAGGTTTTGATAGATGCCAGTCTCTAGTCATCGTCAGGCTGCCGTCACGCTCTGATGATTCATACACAAATGTGTATCGAGAAAGGCCGAGAAAGCTGTGCATGATGTGCGATTTCCTTCCGTTGCCTCTCCGAGGGCAGCAGTTCACATGTGGCCCAGCTGACCTTTAGTCTCCAAAGGAAGGAGAGACTAAAGGGCTGACAGAGGTGTGTATTCAGGAAAAGAAAGCAGTGGAGATTATGTTTTTTTTGTTTTTCTGGGACTGCTTGTGTTTCATGCATTGGTTCTTTACAGATTAAAGTGGGGGGGAAACAAGGCTCAGGGTTGTCTCCCAGCCTTGGCAGAACTCTTTCATACTTGATGCTGTTGCTTACAGTGTACGAGCAGCTCACCACTTGCAAGAAGCCAAGACACTAATGGGACAGAAAATCCCACACAGCTCATTTTCGTTCTCTAAAGCTGACAAATTCTATCTGCAGCAGGATGCAAACAGTTGTTATGATGCAGAGTGGAGGTGCTGCGGGAGTCTTCCCTCCAAACCCAGGCCAAGCTGCAAATCCCGGTGCAAACACACCCTTGTGGTTTTATTACCTGCTAAAGACCTACTTTCTCCACTCTGACCTCAGAGTCTCTAGCTTCGTGCACAAACACGCGGAGGTCACCAGCGAACATCAGGGCCCTCTCCCAGGAGCCTGTAGAGGTGAGCAAGCACGCTTGCTTGGGGGACCAATTCAGAACTCCACTGCCTCAAATTACAGCTAAAAACAGTAGCAGTACAAAGGAACCACAGGGTTCTGCAACAGCATTGATGCTAACAGCGCTGGAGTTACTGAGAAGCCAACGGTGTAGGAGTCAGTTGCACCCTCTCCTGCTCCCCACATGTCCTCAGGCTTCCTGAGACTGGAACTTTGGCCCCTTCAGCTGGTCTCTATGAGAATCCCTTTGCTGTCAGTACAGCCTCACGATACCTTTTAAAGAAAGTCAGTATTATAACCATTGCAACTACTTAAAAGTTAAGTTTTACTCCAGTAAGTAAAGCTTGTAGGAGTCAGGAATACAATCCAGGATCTGGTCCCATGGCATCTGACACCAGGCACATCAGATGGAGAATAGCAGACATTTGATAACAGCAGGATGCTGTATTTTTGGTCACATATCTCTTGTTTGCAAGCAATTTCTGCAGTTATAGAGCAGGTGGCACCCTGAAACTTGATAACACAGAGTTCACCGTTTTTGTCAGAAAATACGAGCCAAGGGAACGTGCCTGGAAGGCAGCAGCTCCCTCAGTTTCCATGGAAGAGGCCATTTCCATTTCACACCAGGTGAGCAATAACGTGTGTTACCCAGCAGAGAGCACTGCAGACCCAGGAAGGGTTCTGGTCTGGGGGGAGGATGAATTGATCATCATTTTAAACTGGATTTTTTTTTTTTTTTTTTGAAGGGGGTTTCTTCTCCTTCCTTCCCCATGCATTTTTTTCTGGCAAATGAATATAGCAACAAGTCAAACCAATCACAGCTTTTCAGGAGAAGTTGAACAGATCACAGCCAATGTCATATGAAAAAATAAAAACTCGTCAGGATACGCACAGGGTCAGAGCTGGGTGTAGGGCTGCCAGCCACAGTCATCTGAAGTGTGAGGGTTCGTATAAAATGCTGAGCCTACCTTTAAAGAGCATGTGGCCTTAAAAATAACATGATCCAGGTACCTTGGTACCTCATGATTTTGGTACAGAAATAATTAGAGAACATGTTCTCAAACATTTCTTGGAAAATATAACAAAATTTTGCTTCTCTTGCTTTGAGATGAAATTCAGCTCAGATAATTTTCCTCTGGAAATTGAGCTTTTAAGATCATTGGTACTTGGTGTGGAATAACAAGACTAGTGTTTTGAAAGAGCAGAGGAAATCAAGGCAGCAGCGAAACTACATATGTGATAAATGAATTAAAATCTCTGGAGAGGTCCCTGTAGACGTACTTTAAAGAACTGTATTTACATTTGATATTTGTTCTGTGATGCAAGATAGGCATGTGCCTGTTACCGCATCAGGGAGGAGAACCAAACTCTGAGGTTGGCCACGGTTTTCTTTGGAGTCCCCTTCTGTGCCTCATTTATTTACCTGTAAGTGAGGGATTAAGTTTTCTTTTCACTGAAGTTAGGAGTCCTTTGGACTAGAGAGGCTTTTATTAAAGGCTTGGATGCTGATATATTGCACAAATGAAGATAATCCAAACATTTACAGATTTCCGTAAACATCGTGAATTCTATTATCTTTACATTTCTCCATATATGCTACTGACTTACATTTTGATTAAGGTATGATTTGAGATAATTGGTTACTCAAAATACTTGCTTATTTCTGAATAATAAGCAGTTAATAACATCTGCTGTTGAAGCCAAGAACTATTATAGATTCAAGAAAAAAACTAGGCTAAAAAACCCCTCAACATCTCTTTTCTTATGAATTACTAGACAGAACTGACACTAAAAAAGAGGAAACCATTCTTTACACATCACATTGCACAAAACATCCTCCCAGGATCTCTGTTGAGGGGAATGTGGGGTCTGGTGCTGGCGTAGCTTTCTTGGGCAAAGAACTCCATAGGAAAAAGATAATTTAAGAAGTTCTGCATCCACACAGATGGACATCTTGAATTCATTTCTTTTGCAGTCTGTTGTCAGCAGAGCTCCTGATCTGGCCTGTGTACCGTTGTGCAGACAGTAGCAGTTTTGTTTAAAGGAAGCCCTCCAGGTCTGATTATGCAGATTGGCTGCAGAGCCCCTTCCTCGCCCAGTACAAGGCTGGCTGTGCGATGTGTGTTCCACTGCAGCAGGGAGTATTAAGGGGTTGTTTTCTGGTATTTAGTGGCTCAGGCCTTTATCACGAGAGGGTCACATCGGAAGATGCAGCACTTGTCTTGGCTGAATGCCATCCTGGCAGCCCTGCACCAAACACAAACCTGGAAGCGGGTCAGTCACTTCCAGCTTCTCTAATGTTTCATGAGCCAGCGGACACAGTAAATAAACCTTGTGAAGCCGAGCGGTCTTTGCACCTTCCCCTGGGACACTGCAGTAAACGCCCACACAGTTGCTGCCTCTCCAGGAACAAGATTGTCGTGCCAGTTACAGCACAAGTGCCGAGCTTCTCCCAGGCTCAGGAACTGACCTTGGGGGTCAGCTGGGCACCACCGTGTTCGAGTTACACACAGGCACACGTGGGTGGAGGCACTCATCCCCACATCAATCCACGTTATAGCACAATCAGTATATCAAACTTCCCTTTCCTTATTGCAAGTCTTTCTTTGCTGTGACTATGACTCGGTAGGATCTGGTCATTCGTTGGTCAGATTGCTGTCACAGTGTACTCTGTTTAGCCAGATCTTTGATTCATGATGTTGTGTCAGAGTATAGTCAGGAGAGGGTTTTCTAAGCAGTAGATCAAACTCACCTATGATAGCACTGAGATCAGAGAAATGGCACTAGCAAATCGCAGGCCAGATTTAGTGATGATTCATACAACAGAAAAAATGTGCCACCCACCTAATTCTTGTTTGTTCTCCTGAGTGTGCTAATTGTAGCTGCTTCACTTGGTTAACAGAACTGAATGAACAGCGCCTTTGGCATCAGTGTCATGAAAATCACTTGGCACGTTGAGACCTCCCTTTGATGCCAGGTGGTCTGTAGCTCTCCTAGGATGTCTTGCTGTTTTGCAGACGTGTTGCTGAGGTCTGTAGGTGTGGGGTAGTTTCTCACCTGCCCTCGGTCCTGGAGGGATCCTTGTTTTATAAATGCCAATGCCTTAACAAAAACCAGAGCAGCTCTCTGGATTGGGACAGCAGCAAACAGATGTCTCAGTCTTGTGACATGCCACATCAGGAGCAAAGTTCTTCCCAAACTAAGTCTTCTCACTACTGTTATCTGCAGTGGACCTTGGATTTTTTTTTTCCTTTCTTTTTTTTCCTTTCCCCTGATGCAACTAAGATGAAGCAATACTTCTCTTTTAAATCTTTCCTCTGTACGTGTTTCTTCTGCTGTGAACACAAGGAGCTAGTCAATAATTAATAGTACCATCAAAACATACCCTAATGGCTCCTGTGCAGGTGCCCAGGAAGATGTGAATTTACACTGCTAGTTGCATACAACAACGTATTTTTTCCATGTAAATTCAATTTCATTTTTCCATCCTGGTATTTCTTATGGTACAAGATGCTTTTTTTGCAATTGATGTTAGATCATCTGAAAGCAGATTAAAATAGTCTTCCTGAAGAGGTGTTTGTCTTTTGGAGCTGGACATAACAGAGAAGGAAATGGCATCAGTAAAATCTTAGTGGTTTAGTTACACTGGTATAATTAAAAAGGAAATATGTTTCCACAGGTCACTGACCTGATGAGTTTTTTAGTTTGTCATATATACATGGCACAATGGGGTTTCTGTGGCTCAGTATAATGGAAATAATAACAACAACAAAAATAAATAAAAAGAAGCAGAAAAAAAGCTAATTCAAACAGAACAGTAAATGATGCCATGTATGTACAATCTTCTTTTATAATTCATCTTTAAAGGATATGTTTCTAGTCTAGTTGCTGAATTAGTATTTAGCCATCCATCTCTTAACTCTGACATTTATTGACAAAATAAAAAGGAATTCAAAGCTTCTGTTGGATTGCATGGCTGTTTCTCCAATTAATGTTATCTGTAGCGAACTTCTGATCTGAGTCATAAAAATGAAGTCTTAGTGAGTGATGCTTTTAAACTGAATCATATCCATCAGAGTAGCTATTTCTGCCCTTTTGCTTTCAAGAGAGTAAGGGTGAATTCAAGGTAGAGAACAGTTGACAAAGAAAAACACCATGTTTTTCTGCAGAGTGTACAAGATTTGGAAAGATTATAGATGGGAGAAAGCACAGATAAATGGCAGTTCAGATTTTTGAACTGGTGGAAAGTAAGGAAAGTAAGGAGAAGCTTCCCCTGTTTGTCTTTCAGAAACACATAGTGACAGCTTTCCTCTCCAGCTATAAATATTCCTAAACTCCTGTCTTGGATTGTAATTTCTAATATGCCTCCTTGAAAGTGCTAGCTTGTACCTTGCAATGGGAGCATAGTTCTGCACACCATATCATAATTTATAGCAGTGTCATACACATTTGTTCGTGATGACGAATGGGATCCGTGGGGCACACTTGCATCATTAATGCTATTAATTTCAGTGTGACTCAGGCCAGGTTTGCTCTTTGCCAGTGCAGCTCTCAGTCAGAGTTTCTTTCCAAAGTAACAGTTCATCAACTCTCCCCTTGTACTTTGAAGTTTCTGAACACCAGCAATGCAATTTTACTTTCTGCCTCAGTTCTCCTACACTCTTACTTCTTCAATGTTATACAGCTCCTATGTAGCAACTAAGCTTATAGCATTGCTGCCTAAATGTCATCCAAGCCTTTGTGACCTTTCTGGGTTTAAAAAAAAAAAGTATGCATTTTACCCATACCAGGTCCCTGTGATTTTTGCCAGACTGAAAATCATGCTTACAGGTTTGCCAGTTCAGAGGACAGACTGAAAAATGCATTTATTTTAGCTACTTTTTTAGGAATTGGGCTTGAATCCCAGCAATCCTGTAATCGTTAATTTTGAGTAATCCCAGCCCTGAATGCAAACAGAGCTGTTCTTTCCCAATTCAGTTGAGATTTTGAAACCCACAGCTTAGAAATACTAGTTACTGCAGGTTTTAAATAATCTGTAATGCACAAAAATGCATTCCTTTACAGGAATTTCACTTCATGTGTTACAGCAACAAATCTTTTTTTTTGTTTTTTTAAGAGTTGAGTTTTCATAACTTCTTGACAGTAGGAATGTCACTCCATTAGCCAGAGACCAGATCTCCTTTCTGTCCTAGAGATCAAACGTGGAACAGTGCCCCAGTGTAGCAACAATCAACACCGGTTCCATATCTGCATTTACAGCATAGACAAAGCATCTCCTGGGATGTTATTCACTATTCACTTACGCCTTTGGTGGGCTGACTTTAACAGCTGGTGCTTTCTAATTTAGGGCAGGTCCAGGGAGAGGTAGACTGATGTACAAGCAGAGGTGTTAAGGGAATGGGGAACTGAAGTTCAGAATGATACTGCACTCCCTCATGCCAGGGCTCAAATCAGTTGTGGCAAGTTGGAGCAACTCATTATCCACGTCAACTTTAGCCATAGGCCAAAACTTCTTATTGAATAGGAAAATCTTAAAATACATCAAAAATGCATTTTTTTTTCCAAAATGCAAGAGTAAAGTAAGCCACAGGCACTTATGTCTTCACAGATGGTCATGGATGGTGGAACCTGACATTAGCCCTGAGGACATTGATCTCTTGTGGTTCCCTTTCTTGGGAATGAAGATTCTTGGTGGTTAATAAACCAAGGATCTGCTAAGTTTTACTGCCATGGTCTCACTGCAATGCTTTCCTTCCGTACAATACTCCATGGCTTTACATGAGCTCCAGAAAGCTTTAAAATAACATCTGTATGTTAGCGAAGACTTTCATAAATGTGTCACTATTTTTCAATACTAAGTGAATGAGGAGTTGTAAAGTTCTATATGACAGGAAGGGTGTTACATTTATGCTGAACTATCTGCTTGGGTGTTTACATGTGCCTGTAGAGGGAGATGCATGTTATATTAAAAATAATATAATTTTAGCAAGATTATATTATATAGGGTGGTAGCTTTTAATGGAAAGTGCTGACCTCAGGGACACCTTGGGGAAGATGTTAGCCCAACTTTAAACTAATTCTGTGTTTGTTCTTCATGCAGTTTTGCACTCAGAATTACTTTTATCCCCTAAATCTGTGCATGCTCAGTATCTTTCAGTTATAATTTGTTTTCCCCACCAAGACACTCAGCAGCAGTTCAGGGAGACTTCACAGGCTTTACAGGAGAATGTGGAGCTTTATTGAATTAAATGCTCCATATCTGACTATCTCATGAAACCCTATGTTGCTGGATGCCATGGGAAGAGGAAGTTTGCTTAGGACTCATTTTTGCCTTCAATTCTGTGCATTAGACAGCAAAAATATCCCAGCATTCTCATCGTTACCCACAGTCTTGTGCTTGGATCTTCCTTGGCTGTCACCAGAAAGTAGCTGCCACTCTGTGTTGAGTTTAGAAATTCCAGGGAAAGAAGATATACACATACAAGGGGCTGCAATGAGATGACTTCACCTGTAGGTTTTTCTGCTTGTATTTTCTTCTTTGCACGTACACAGAGAACTGTGCAGGCAGGAGCTGTGGTTGGTTTACATGCGAGTGGAAAGCCGTCCTTAACTGCACGTACATAAGCTGAAGCTGTGTTGTCACTTAGACACCCAAAGATGTGTGAAGTACTCCAAATAAATGAGAGAAAGTTCCTCATCTAGTGTGCAGGGGGCAAACTGAGCTATCTTTAATGTTTGTGCAGTTTGTGTAGCCTAAGAAGCGAGGTCAGAGAGAGATGGGATTATGATTTCTGTCACGTAACCCCAGTCTAGCAACTCTAATAGAAGAGCCCATTAATAAATATTTTTCTCCTTGATGCAACAAAGAACTCAGCCATCTGGAATAAAAATGAGCATTCAGGATCTTCTAATCTCATGTTAGAAATAAATAATATCTGCCCCAGAGCTTCTGTCTGGAATTCAACTAGTTGTACAAGGCATAACCTTGCTGATAACTAATACTGTTATAATGACTTAAACAAAGTTACCGATTACTTCTCTGAAGTTTACACTGGCTTTCTTTTCATTCTAGTACATCAGTAATTAAAGCTGTTTTGAAATAGCTTAGTGCAGCTGGATTTGTGTGCTGTTTGGGGTGGTGTTTATAAGACAAAATTATCCTTGTGCAGAAGCCAGCATCACACAAAAAACCCATTTGCCTTACTCAGGTGGTTCTAATCTGAAATAATTACTTGAATAAACAGTTTCTGCCTGACACCTTTACCAGATTTCCCATGGGATCTTACATAACCTCTGTCCATTATGAGAATATTGTAATATGTAAGGAAAAGAGGTCATGGGATTCATCCACCTTATTTCTAAACTGTTCCAATGGAAGACCTCATTCAATATTAAAAAAATAAATCACACAAAATACTTAGCAGTGTTATTCAGTCTCTCCCTAAGTGATTCAACTAAAATGCCATATATGAATGTGGAAAATATTGTTTTCAGAGCACTTCTGGAGAAATACCTTCCTTCTGCCTGAAGCTCCAGTTTTCTTTAGGTCTTGCTTCTCACTGGTGCAGAGGTTCAGACAGCCACTGCAGGACAGTTTGTTAGGCAGAGGCTAGCTGTCCCCAAGCAGCCACTGGGACAGGTCTGCAAACTGTCCCTGCATCTTTAGGCATTCCTTCATCCTGCTCCCCATCCGAAGGCCAGGCAGGATGGCCTTGGGGGGGTGGAGCCAGCAGGAAGCTATGTAGAGATGGATGTTCAGATGCAAATCCGCTTATCTCCCTGGTATTTACACCATGAGAACTAACCTGATAAACTCAGTGCCTATGTGAAAGAGAGTCTGGCAGTTAAAGCACAGACCATTCCAGAGCAGAAGAATATGGGATTTACTCTGGAAACGAGAGGAGCACGTTGTCTGGAATGTTCCTTCCTGCTTCCTCTCCGCAGTTACTCCCGCTCGCAGCTGCTTGCTCCGGGCTGGGCTGTAACAGCCTCTCTCTGCCCAGCCTGCTGCAGCCCTCACTGCACTGGCCAGGGCTCACCCCCAAAGCAGAGAGCACCCAACTCAGCGCTAATCACTACCTGGAATGTGAGGACAGGGGCTTTATTGCTAGTGCAGATTGCCTTTTTCATTTTGGGTTGTTTTTTTGTTTGTGTTTTGTTTTTTTTTTTTTTTCCTTTGCCCTTTTTACCTTCTTCCCCTCCTTGACAGCTGTTACTTAAGTACAGCTGGGAGGGAATTGATATCAGCCTGGGATAGGTTTAATTGCAGTCAAGGTCTCTATACCTTTAATCCTTCATTTCCTCCCTCCCTGCCTTCTTTGGGAGGGGGTTCCCTAGGGAATACCCCATTTTGCATCCTACATGAGAGCTGCTTCTTCTCAGATGATGCTTCTGCTGACCGTGTGCTGGTACCCAGTGATTCCCTAGACCAGGCTGCCTGCCTGCCACAGCTCTGCTGCCTGTAAGTCATTTGTGGGTTTCTTGGGCTTCTGGGTCTGTTAATATCAAAGTTGTAACAGCAGCTTCAGTCCTCACGTTTTTGCTGCTCAGGCATCCAGGTCTGCTAGGAAGTGCTGCTATGAGCAAATGGAAGGGAGGATAAATATGCACTGATTACAAATTAATATTTTACTGTTAGATTCTCAGAAGCTCTCTGCAAAGCAAAACTGGTTGTCACTCAAAGGCCCTTCAGTCTTGTGGTGCTACAAGGAACACCAGCGGCTTTTTAACTCACCTGTCATGGCACTTCTCAACCAGGTTTAATGTCCTCGAGTCACAACACCACTCAGCTGCTATTTCAGTTAGTCTCAGCTGATGAGGTGTTTTCCCTCGCATCAGCCTCAGGAATATCTTGAGTCAGTCCTGTAGTGATAGTCTAGCAGGATCCTCATGGGTACCGCTCCTTCCCGCAGCTGCAAAGTGCGGACAGTAACATCTCTAACATTTAGTCATATCTGGATTAAGCAGTTAAGCCCCAGCTAAGCTTCTTGGAATGCAGTGTCCCTCTCCTTGGCTGCCCTACAGAGAAGGTTCTGTGCTTTGAGAAGTTGTTTCTGTTCCTCTGGGAGAAGCTGCCTGCCCGGCCTTATTGATGGGCTCAGGGTTGGACAACGGCCAGAACTGGAAACTCCTGGAGGATGTTGGTGCTGAATCAGTTGTGAGCTTCACCTTGTGGTATCCCCCCACAGCAGGCAAAAGCTTGTAAACATTTTAAATTATTATAAATATCCTCACTAATGAGGTAAGCTTGTGTACTTAACCTAAAATTATCATGTGTGTGCTGGGAAAAAGGTTAGAACAAACAGAATAAGTGATGCAGGCAGAACTAGGAGAAGCAGACTGAGACTTTGTGGAGGTGGTTTGCTTTTGGAATATCTGGGACGCAGTGTTCAGAGTTGGTGAAGGGGCGGGGAGGCAGGGATGTTGTTTTCTTCCTCCACTTCCATAAATCACAGCTTTAAGTGAAGGCAACCTGAAGGGACCCTTCAATAAGCCTTTCCTCTAAGACTCCACAATTAAATCATACTTGCTAATTCCAGGACTGAAACTGTGATCTTGCAGAAGTAGGCACTTGGCAAGCCTGGCTTTTAGCTCAGTTCAAGGAGGTGCTTAAGCAAGCATGTTTCCAGCTCACACATGCTTGTAATACTTTCATGCCTTTTGAGAAATCTCTGTAAGTATCTGTCCAGTAGCACAAACCATGTCTTAAAAACTCAGCCTTGAGTGCTGTGCTGACAAGCATGGTAAAATGAAAACCATTAACTATGCAGGAGGCAAAGAGGGACAGGTAAATGTAAACCAAAGTCAGTAGCAGGCCAACCTTTACCAGTGGGATACTTTGTTTATAGAGAAGACTAACAGGATTACAACACTTATTTTCTTGTTTGTACTGTGGCAGCTACAAGAAGTCCTGGTTATAGACCAAGACTCAAGTGTGCTGTGTGTGATACGAACATGGGGCAGAGGAGAAATCCAGAGACCATACAGCTTGAAAAGCAAAGCGGTCTAAAATGAAAAAAAAAAAAAAAAAAAAAAAAAAAAATCTCAAAGTTGGCAACATCTATGAAAGGAAGTTTATTCTAGATCATCTTGGACTCTTGATCACCTTTTCCTAATTTTCCTACAACTCTGTGTAGTGCCCAGTGCAACAGAGCCATCATTCTTGCCTCTGCTTCGGAGGTGCTTCTGCAGTGTAAGCAAGCATGTATGAGCCAAATTTGTGTTTGGAAACAAATCTGGGCCTTCCCTTCAGCTAGGGAACACCCGAATCTGCCAACTCAGGGCTCGAGGCGTAGGTGTCCTAGAACACAGTCAGGTATCGTGGTGATACTGAGGCTCTGCTGTGCTTGGGCACAGAGGAATGGAGCAGATCACTAAATACTCCATGTAGTACGACATTCTGCCTCAATAGGAACATCTGCTCTATATTGCTGCATGGAATTAATAAACAGTAACAATAAAAAACCCCAAACCCACTCAGTCTTTTTTATACCAGTGCCCAGCCACAGAGTAAATGACCAAATTCCTCCCCAGCGAATTAGAAATTTCCATCTTGCCTATTTTGATTATTGCTTTTGTGTTGTTCACATGCTTTCCTTTTTAAAAGAGCTTCTGACCCAGTGATTCTCAATTATTTATTTGTGTCTTTCTGTCTTCCCTTGCTTTGTGTTTCTGCTCCTGTCAGGAAATTTTGCAAGCTGTTGCATCATCCCTTTTTCCTGTCAATTGTCTTTGCTGCTTGCCCTGGTGAGGCTGTGCTTGCAGGAGCTGGGTAGTGCAAGCAGCGTGTCAGCGTATTGCAGGAGCAGCTCTGCTTCCGGCTCCCTCCACTCAGTTCCTGTTGACTTTGTTGACTTTAATGCCCAGAGCACGCTTCAGTAGAGGATTGCAAAAGGATTTATAATGAATTACACTCACCACAGAAATACTCATCGTGTGCAGAAAGTGTTTCTAGATGGCTGCAAACAGATCTAAAACTGGTTCTGCTCAGCCCCAGCTAAACAGCTCACCAACACAAAGGTGCTAATTTGCTCCATTCCATTTTTTCCTTTGTGAGCTGTTTTTAACTAGGCCGGACTGTTTACAGTGTGGTACCAACAGCAAAGCATGCTTCAGTCTACAGACCACTTCCACCCATTTTAATAACGTTCTGGAAGTGCAGTTTATTCCCTTCACTCCTGACAATACACTCAATGGTAACAGCCCTGGCAAATTTTCTGCATGCTATTCCAAGGTTGTACTATAATTATTTCTTTCATCAAGCAGAGCTATTAAAATCACATCTGTCTGCATCCATCTGCTTAATCTTTGCTGCTACAACAATACTGGTAATCACTTGCTTTTTGGTTTGGGGTCTCTGATGGGAAGAGCAACTGCTACCTCAGGACAGACTTCCCAGCAGAGAGTGTGGAATGGAGCACGTGGTGCTTGAGCTGATGGGAGTGAGCTCAAGGGAGCATGTGTTTATAAAGTAGGAAGCTCCCTTGAAGAAAACTTCCTGCCTGGTTCTTCACTCGTATGTGCAGTCAAGTTGAGATGAGATGTTCTGGGGGCACAGAACTCACCAGTTCTTCCTTCAACTGGACAATGTATGAGAAGCCCTGTCTTAGTCATACATATATTTAGAACAAACAAAGAGAGGGAAATACTTGCTTCAATTAGGTATGATATTTTTATGAAAAATATGGTGCCAGATGAGTGAGTCATTAAGTAGCATGGTGACATGTACGCTGTTTCCTTGCATGATGGGTTTTAATTCCTGAGGAAGTTCTGTCCTGTTGGCTTTGTTCTGTGGCAGTCCTTGGAAAGTTGATTTATGGTGTTTGGCGAAATCTTCCTCCAAAGTAGGCCTGGGTGTCTGGGCAGAGCTTTCTAGAAGAGAAGATTGCTTGCTTGCTATTGGCAGTTGTCTCCCTTCTTTTGGATATATGCAAACAAAATAAGTCACATTGAAAACAGACTGAAATACTTGACAGTGGTGTAGTAATATAGTCACAGAGCAGCAGGGGTATTCTCAGGTCCTTTCAGGCTAAGGCTGGCTGGGCTGGGCTCAGTAGAGTTCTACCTTGTCCCAGGCTTTTTGTACTTCACCCAAGAAATCAAGGACATGAGCAGAAAATACATCTGCTAGGGAGATCACATTGTTGAAGGAGAAAAGCGCCTTTGCAATTCCAAGGCATTTTAGGCTCTTGGGTGCTAATAGCATGCCTGAGAACGAAATAATTTATTTAATTATACTTATTTTATATAGTAATTAAGCTGGTGGAAGTCAGGAAGGCATTTAGCACTGTACATGCAAAAAGTAAAAAGAGGTGTTACTTGATCAAATGGGATTGGATGGAATTTCCTTTCCATTTTTGACAGCTAAGCAGGAGTTGCACATCTTCCATCTATAATTTGTTGTGTGGGAAGTTCATACAAATACAAAGGAAGTGAGTTACCACAGGTTGCAAAGCTGTGTGTCATGATCACTAGACAATTTTAACTGTACTGGATTTGATTGGGCTGTGATGATTCAGCATCTGGTCTTGGCCAGATTGACCTTGTCCTATTGTCCAAATAAACAATATAATAGAGAAAACCCAAATATACTTGCTTTAACAGATTTGTGCAAACAAGTCACCATCAAAAGGACGCCCTCCCTGCATGCACCCTTGCCAGCTTGTTTGAACTGTAGCAAGCAGATAGTGTTCATAAATCAGGCGCCAGATGCAGTATCAGGAAACTTTTATACAAGTTTTTAATAAAAAAAATTAAACAAAAATATATATAATCAGGCATTTTATGCAATGCATACATTCTTTATATCTGCAGGTACAGATAAATAACAGAAGGCAAAACCAAGTATTTTGCTTATCTTTGGCCATTAACCAGTAATCACCCCCAAAGAGATATTATAGGGTTAAAGAATAATAAACTGAGTCTGTAAATTTCTCATTACAGACAGAGTATCAGGCAATAGTACAGTAGTTCGATTTTTAGAAATGTAAGGAAATATTTCTTTAACACTGCCCAATACTGAAATTTAACCTGGTTTGCTGCTATGGAACTTAAGGCCTTCTTTAGCTCTCACACAGGCAACATTCCTGGGTTTACATGAGATCTACTCTAACCCTTAACAGTAACCTACTTCCCTTCACCATACATTGCTCTAAAAAGCCAAGCTGTACCACTTTTTCATGGAATAAACTAGCATGGATTCTTATCTGGGGATCAGTTTCCTGAGCCCCAACCAATGTGCATACATACAGAGCAGTTAAGCTTCCTTAAGTCAATATTTTTTCTAACTCAGTGTCCCAGAATAATAGCTATCCTTCCACTTTACAGCACAGATGCATCTGATGGCTCTACCAAAGCAATATATACATGATACACATTAAAAATCATAAAAGCAGTTTTTAAAGGTACATTGAGAACATGTAGCAGCTTATGTCTATACATGTACATGTTTTCACAGTTATACTTTAGAAAATTGAGGACATCAGGAATACTTCTACTGTGTTTTCTATAAATATTAAAAATGTACCTGTCAGGCATTTTGACAAAATAGCATTTAGGTTATCACTTTAAATAGCTCTTGAAAACCTGTAGAGTTTTAAGCTTAAAGGCTGTAAAGTTTGAGGATTCTTTAAAGTGTTTTGCCAGTTTCAGCAGCTGGGCCAGCTGCCAGTTTGATTTTTTTTTTTTTTATTTTTTTTTTATAATTCAAATCTGGTAACAAAGGAACTCCACCACCTTTGATGGGATAGGCAAGTTCTTGACCTGGCTGGTGGGTATCACTCTTCGAATTGCCATACGACATAGATGTTGGAGACTGGAAACTTGTCTTGGAGTTGCCCAGAAGTACACGCTGCCATCCTGTGTCCTGTACAAAAAAAAAAAAAAGGCAAAAACCACACCAGAATTATCCCATCTGA